CTGCTTTGTTGTCCTCAGATGTAACTGCTGTCATTATTCCTACTTTAAAAGGACTCTTTTTACTAATGTAGAATAGATTTGTTAACTGATATTATCTATTTCTGATTGCATAGTCATGCTTGTTTCTAATGTCCTCTTTGGTCAGAGGTGTATCGATTAATATTGTTTCATTATCTTTATCAGATAAAGAAGGATTCTCCATGGTTACTTTTGAAACTTGTATCTCTTCTCTAATTATTTTTTGAGTTGTTGGTTGAACTTCTATAATTACTTCTGGATTGGTGACTTTTGTATTAGGATATTGTATTGAACTTTGTACTATATAGCTATTGTGGTTCCTATTTTTTATGTAAGAATAAGCTATAACTGCTATTTTTCCTGCTCTAGGCTTTGTTGATGTTATGGATCTTGTATTAATTGTAAGATATTTATAATTTGCACTACTTGTTGTGAATCTTCCAGCATATGTCTATTTAAAACACTTATATTTAGTTGATTAAATATCCAAATCCATTTGATGTATTCTTTAGCTAGTACCCATTTTACTGCTATGTGGAAGTCGATATTTAAAAGTTTTGCAGCTACAGTATTGATTACTGTGGTATATATAACTGTTCCTAGTTCTGCTAGTTTTGAAGTTGTATTTGTTAAGCTGTCTTCTATAAGAGTGTATATCCATCTTTGTTCCTCTTTATTATGATTGTCCTCAAGTGTTTTGAGGTGATCTATTATTAGATTTTCTATAGGGACTGATATGAAGTCTGTTATGTTGTTTAATCTTGTTGGATTGGTACGTAAGTGGAGATTGCTTTGTTGTTTGTACTTGAACATATGTTGACTTCTTGAAATGGTTTTGTATATATGTGTAGATATCTCTTTATATAAGATAGGTTAAAGAGTTAATATATGTCACTTTGAAAAATCTAAGATATGTTCATGTTTGTGCAACTAATTCATGTTTTGTTGCTTTTCATAACTTGAAACATTTACATATTCATACTTGAACATGTACTAATATCTTAGAATAGTTTTGTATACATGTATGATTATTTCTTTACATGAAGTGAGTAAAAATGGGTTCCTAAATTAAAGGCAAGGACATAATTCAAATGTTCTTCACTATTAAAAAAGTTTTTTTTTAAACATAAAATCAAAAAAAAAAACTACCTATAAAGGTTTTTTGCAATTTAAGCCACTTGATTCAAATGTTTTTTTAATTATATTTCTATTAAAGTAATAAATAAATAATTATGTCTCTTCAAAAGAAACATAATTGATCTGCAAAATTTTATATACTAAATAATTTAGGGACCCATCTTTAAAAATAAATTGACTAGTTGACACATTGTTTTAGGAATCTGTAATATGTTCGTGTTCGTGCAACTGGTTTGTGTTTTGTTGCTTTTCTAAATTTGAGATGTGTATATGTTCATGTTACAACTGATTCTTTAGAGAGGATAAGCTGTCTTGGATTTTTCTAAAGCAAGTGAAAATTTTTTATAATACATGAGATCTGTAGTTGTATAAGTTGTATGTGTTTTGTTTTTCCTCTTTATCCAAGATTTGGAAAGAAAACTTTGGTATCTCTTTGGTTTTGTTCTGGTGTTTTAGATTATCTGATTTATCAGACATGATCTGGCTAGAGCAAAATCCTGTTGGTAACTAGAGGAGATACCTAACCTGATACATGACTGGCTAACAGCTTTATAAGATTGATACTAGTTTTTTTTTTCCTAATCTTACTGTGAATTGTTTACTTTGTTTCTTGTCTTCTTTTTTATAAAATTTTACTTTGTTTTCTTAATGTAAAACAGATCAAGAAAGAAATGATAGATTTGATTAGTTTGTAGCAGAAGTTACTTGTTTTGTTTTGAGAAGGTGTTGGTTGTTGGTTTCTCTTGATATCTTCTAGTTTTTTGCAAGTTGAATAAATATTTTGGACCTTTTCCTAAAATTTCCTAAAAAGGAAATTTTTAAAGATTTTGATAATTTTCGGAAAGAGTTTTTTTTTTCAGTTACAAAAATTATTATTGTTTTGAGTAAGAAGTATTAAATTTATAGAATTTAATATACTGTATAGTTTACTTTCAGAATCAGTAATTTTAATATCTAATATTTCATCAACTTGATATATAGTATATCAATTTTTTGCAAAGACTTCAATCAAATAATTTTAATTTAATTAAATGAGATGAGATGTAAAATTACTAGAATTGTATAGTTACCGCAAAAAGTAAAGTCAAATTTACATATAAAAAGATACAATAAATTAAAACATGACATTCTTCCCTTTTATTATTTTTTACACCTATTCTTTTATTGTTTTTTTTTTTGATCCTCAAATATGACATTTAAAAATTTTTCTAAAATAAATAATATTCACTTATATCCAACTAACTGATAAAGATAAAAAAAATATATTGAATTTGAGCAAATACCTTAGTACTAAAAAATAGTATTAAGCATAGAGCATAATCTCACCACAATATAACAGTTTCTTTACAAGTATAAAGAAACTGGAAAAATAGAAAATCACCTATGGTTTGGATAATTACAAGTTCTAAAGAAAAAAGAAAAAGAAGTACTTGCATAAAAAGCTATTACAACATATGAAATTTTAGAGAAACTAAAACTTAAATGCAGTTTATCAATTGTCAGAAATATATTTCATAATGTTAGAATCTGTTTATATATAGCTGCTAAAAAACCTTATATTTCAGAAGATTACACAATATACATGTTAGTTGATGTGAGAAAAATTAAAAAAATTAGATTTATGATTGGTAACAAATTATCTTCTCTGATAAAACAAGTGTAGAAATTGGCAAACAATCAAAACAAATACATGTTTGACAACATACAAAAGAAAGATATAATTTAGATTGTTTAATTCTACTTTTAAAAATGAATACTATTCAATTATGATTTAGGAATGCTTCATAGGAGAAGTTAAAGGACCATTAGTTTTTTGTAATCATTTTAAAAAAAAAACAAAAAAAGAATCAATTCAAATATTTATCTTCAAATCTTAGAAACTCAATTTTTATTATTTCACCATGGGGTGCATCAATTAATAGAAGCAAATCCTATTTTTCAACAAGATAATACACCTATTTATATTGTGTGAATCATCTCAAATTGGTTTGAAACAAACAAAATTAAAATAATCAATTGGCCAGCAAATTCACCTGATCTAAACCCTATAGAAAATATATAGAAGTTGTTAAAAAACAATATGCAAAAGCATAAGAATTTTTCAAGAACAGTGAGCAATCTTAAAATTGTTTTGAAGAAAGAGTGGAAAAAATTTGATACCTCTATTCTTCATGATATTTTATACTCAATGCTTTAACAAATTGATGCTGTATTACAAGCAGAGGAAGGACTGACCAAGTATTAGCTATAAAAAAATTTATAAGTAAAATACATAAAATAAAATAAAACATGATTTTATAAATTTTTGATCTCAATTTCAAAATCAGGCCTTACTTTTTAAGATGACTGTAAATCACCTTCTTATGATATATTATCTCTTCAATGGTAACAAGTTCATGAACAAGAATATCCAAATTTAGCAAATTAGTAAAGAATTTTTTATGTATACAAGCAAGTTTTGTTCCATGTAACAATTATTTAGTTTAGCAAGTAATATAATATCTAAAAAACATAATAGACTTACTGGAAAATCTGTATGTGCTATTTATGTATTCAAAGTTGGTTTATTGAAAATATTAATTAATAAAGTTTTAATTTTTTATAATTTTTTTTTAAAAATATTTTTTAAATTTATAAACAGTTTTTTAATAACTCTAATTATTTTATAATCAATTTTGACTCGGTTTTAGTTTTAGTTAATGGTTAGCTCAACTTTATTACAAAGCCGATATAACTGAACTAAAAACTGATCAAGTCAAACCATTTAGCATCACTACTTACCAATGACTCTAAATAATATTAAACTATGAATAATTCTATTGTAATATTATAAATTTAGTATTTTATTATTAGTTGCTAGTTTTTATAATAGATTTAAATTAAAATATATTGGTTTTGATTTAGCAATAAACAATTTTTTATTACTCTTAAAAAATTCAATAAATAATTATTTAATTTATTTGAATATTATAAATTTCATTTTCTAAATCCATAATTAATAAAAATTTTCTTTTACAAACTTTTTATTTATTAATATATATAGGGCAAGGTATCGGGCACATTTCATTCTCACAATCTATACGTCAAATATTTTAGAAATAAAAATCAGGTAGTCCACATAAGAAATTATAATATACATGCGATGAATCTCATGGTCTTCTTCGCATGGAATATTGCATTTGTTTGGGCATCGATAAAGTCCTTTTTGAGTGTAGGTCAACAAAGAACAAGTTACTCCACAATAATGTCCAACGAATTAGCGTGTAAGGTTCCATTCGATATCCAATAAAACCAATGTTATGCAAATGATCCAACATGCTGAATTATTGACACAGGTGAATACCGTCCTTATGACTAATCTCTTCCAATCATTTTGGGGGGAGTTTTGTTTATAATAGAGGCTACAATTTTGTCCACACAAATGACTGACCTATCGTTAACTAACGATGTGAAATCGAGCATGGGTTCTTATGAAAAAGATAAGAATACTATAGAGCCTTATAAAACGAACGTTACTTTATCACACGCATGTTTACCAAAATTCCCAGCCTTATGACTGCATTGTGGAATAGAATCTTTATGAGCGTCCGAAAATTGACATAAGACATGGCACTCGTGGTCGGTTAAGCAATCTGTTGTCCATCAGCATGATCTCGATTTTTCAAGCATTTCAAGTTACATTTGTGGCAAGTGAATCCGCATAATGTCCAGAAAAGCGAGAGCTTTCTGAATGACAAGATTATTAAATATTTTAGCCAATGGTTAAGTTATACTAATCAATAAAAAAAAACGGACTCGATTTCCTGTTCCAATGCATAACATCCAATAGAAACACTGCTATTATCCTATGGGAATTTGGTAGTATTTTGCGTAAACCATTCTTGCACGCGAAATATTCCTCTTTCAATTATATATTTGAAGTATCTTTCTAAATTTGCAAACCATTCGGAATCTTCAATGGCATCCTCGCGAGATTGAATGTGTTCTTCAAAGTATGCCCTCAAATCTCCGGAAAGGCGAAGAAAGTTGGGATTTTCCTCAAAAAGTAGCGTATCTGAGTAGCAGGAAGTATGGTAAATCAATTATAACCATCAAAAATTTCGGATATTAGGTGTGATGTCTTCGATTTCGAGACCTGTATCTTGATTCTAATGTAATGTTTATGCAAGTTTAATATCACATATTGCTACAAACGCTTGAAAGGTTGTGATATTTGGTACCAACCACCAACGGTTCTTTTACTGGCTCTTTGCTCTATTCCTAGAGACACTGCTGTTTGGAGAACTCTCCTAAGCATTGAGATACGTATTTGCACCAAGTTTTTTCATTTAAAGAACTTCAATAGGATTATTGTGCGTATTCGGATCATAATACAATACAATATTGCATATGGTGGTTGAATATCGAAATTTTTTTTTAAAAAAGCATGAAATAAACAAAAATCAACTTACTCTCAACTTAGCCATGATGACCTTGATGTTTTGAAAAAATACGAGCGTTTTCATAACGGGCTTCCTGCTTGTCTAGCATCTTTTTCACATCCTTTTAAATTTTTGTACCTATTGGAAAAAGCTGTCAAAATAGAATATGATCTGGTTCAGTATTAACATACAGTAGTTCTTAGACATGTCATGCCATTCTATAAGTAAAACATAGTTCAAATAAGAGGTAAGACATTCATAATTCATGATAGGAACCGAATACTTAACATTGATTTTAAAGAACACGAACCGGGATTGGAAATTAATGTCCACTATAAAAATTATCTTCACCTTCCTAAAGAATAAATCATTACTGTTAATATGTTAATGACATACAACCTTGGCAATAATAGCTTCTAACCTCTGCGACCAGAGAATTAAATCCCAGTATAAATTCTCTAACAATGTCCTTGTCGTTCGGTGGAACATCCTTAATTATAATGGTACCGAACATCACCGTATATTATAATTAGGCAAATATATAAAGATTAAGGTCAAGCGAAATAAGATGGATTGAGCTTTCATACCAAAGTTTAGCTTAATAAAACGAATGTAAATCTTAATATGTACAGTATATTCTTGAAGTTTTATTAATTAGGTTGACGCTTACTTGAAATATCTTTTGATCATTTAATAATAATCACCATCTTGAAACCGCCGAAACATTGAGGACAAATCATTATTCACGGAGATTTGATTCTGTTAAAGGGTCAAAATAGTCAATTATCAATATTTTCTCTTTTATTGTATCAAGGGTTCTTGTCAAAATTTGGATCATACACACTTTCAATTCCTTAAAATCCAATGTCACGTATAAGCAGCTTTTGGTAATAGCTGTTCTCGAAAAAAAAAGTGTTAACATTCACACGTTTTTGAAAAAATTTTGTATAAAATGTTTTTTACCCAATGACAACCATACGCCTTCGGTACAATGCTAATTAATCAAACTATTAAAATACTTTCGTGACATAAAAATAAATGCAAAAACATGCTGACAAACATACCATAGCAGAACCATTGAAAGTAGTTCCGACGAGGTGACTAATTATTCAAAATAAAAATGACAAGTCTTTGGAATTATAAAAAAGGAAAACGTTCGCATTGATGAGAGAACCCAATTACCATATGTGCTTTTCTGCATGACTGCTCTCCCATGCTCGACACAACTTTAGCCTTTCGATTCCCGAAAAATTCAAATATTCCTACATGATGACCGTAATAATCAGAACCGTCAAATTGATCCCGTTCGGTTGATGACAGACCATCATGGAAAGGATTAAACTAATTGTTTCGTGTGATTGCAATATGAATGGGATAAGACACACGATCCACTCTCTAAATTGAAATTTAGAAGATTTATTCTTAGGAGCTTAAAATTTTCAATATCGAAATTGCGGAATAATACGACGGCCAGAATTACCAAAATGCAAAAGGTAATTATGTCAAGCATTACATCAGTTCATTTAACAATTGTTTGTCCAATTTATTTACATGTTCTAAATTTCTTGAGCATCGAAGCTGGTTTCCGCGTGATCCGTTTTACCTCTTCAAACATGTCGTTTATATACCTCAAATTTATCTTGATAATCTTCGATTCATCGTCATCCGGTAAATCCAGAAGATCTCTCAAACTCAACGGTTTGGTTTGCTCGGAATCTATGCATCCATCAATCGGATATTTCTCGAGCATCAACTTGTATGCATCAATGTGTATCCGTTAAGCTTGGTCTTGGGTTTGGTACGAAAATCTACCCATTCATCCCCTGAGCCAGGTCGAAAACTATCGGAAATATTTAGCTTCGTGTCTGAAAGAAATATGTCGCGATATCTTTGTCTTAATAAAGAAATACTCTCTCCAACTCCCACGCCTGCTCAAAATGCGTATGATTTCCTTGGATGATCGAACAGTCTTTATTTCATGTGAGATGTGAGTTTAACTTGCCCAAGAGATTTTCTTTGTGACCTTTGTTGAAATCTATATTGAAACTTTTCAATTGTAAACTTAACTATTAATGAATGGGATAAGCGTTTTTCCAGGTCAATCAACATCAAGTGCATCTGAAGTTTGTACAATTGTCAAAATTGTAGACATTCGAGATTCAGATCGGAAGGCAATTCAATAACTATAGAAATAGAGAATAACAAATTAATAATTACCAAATATCGCTTGTTTGACATGACATTGTAACATGGGAAGTGGCGACACGAATTACACTAACACCGATCGCCAAGAAAATATCGCGCGCCATAACTGGGACAAGACACGTCGAAATCATAAACGGCGCACATGAAAAAGTGTGAAAGACTGATAGAAAAAATATAACATAATCAAAGAAAGACCGGACTAAGTCACGTGATCCGTCTTTGCTTGTCAATGTCAATGAATTATGTAATATGACGACAAAAACGATAATGTGTTATGTAATAGTTTCGCTGCGAATTCATTATTTTATTTTTCTTTTTTTGTTTATTTCATTTTCTTATTGTCAGATTCTTATGTAATTACTGGAACTAATTGTATAAAAAGAACCATATCGTTAATAAAGAGAGACAATTAATCAACTTTTTCGGCCATAATCAATTCCGCCTCACACATAACATAAAACACTTACCTTCGTTACGCGAATCTTAGCTTCCGTTAGCGACAGACTCGCCGATAGCCGTTACAACATATACAACAATTACGGTACTTTTATTCGACGGTTGTCCGAAATTCGAGCAAAAATACACATATACACGACATACTTCTATTTCTTTTTGTGATTTCTTCGGAAATTTAGTCGTTGATGTTACTACTCGTATCCTCGGCTTCTCTCACGCTTTCCCGAATAAACGCCACAATACAGGCTCCATCGGGAGTACTAATAACTGTACTAGCATTTCCGGAATTTCCCCACGCTAGGTCGAAATTGCCCATTCACGAAGTTATATAATTTTGCTCGTCCTCCCACCTCGACAAAGCGTACCTCCTCGGTCTCTTTTATGAAAAAGAAATGCTATATATCGGGAATTACATTATCATACCACTTCAAAATTTTAATTTTGTTGTTACTATGAAAGAATATTTTCGTTCTTCGTCGAATGCAAAATGTCAAATTTACTGTAAGAAGTAAGGATGAATGCATTAACTGCAAACAGGCAACATTCTTCGGTACGGAACATTATAAAGTATTTTTTTGGATATGACTGAATAGACGTGACCAGTTTTGGGGCTTTATCAAAAAAATATTTCGGTTTTTATTTAACTATTTTCGGTCTCAAAACAAGCTATTTTCCTATAGAGCATCGCATGGAATTATTCGTTATAATCAAACCACATGGAAAACAGATTACCGAGGATCAAATATAATATAGACCTAGGGAAGTGGTATTCGTCTTCTTGCAATCTAAAATTGTCCAACTGATCCCATGATGTTTCATAATAATGATATGTAGCTGATAAGGCTTTGTTGTCTCCAATTCGTACGTTACTCGAAATCCATTTGCGTACACGCCTTCTAAAGTATTATACAGTAACAAGTTTATTATGTGAGAATTCGGAATTATTAATGATTAAAAATTTGTTAATGCAGTACAGTTTACAGTATTGGTCATTATTTCAGATAAAATTTTTGAAAAATTACAAGCTCACTGTTGGAAATTTTTAGGCAGATCTTTTCAAATTCCTGTTCTTCAATCCTTTGGCTTTCCACCAAAATCTCTTCGTATTTTTTTTTAAAATTCTATGCCTTGATCGGTATATTTCTGAGCAATCCTTTTAATTTTGCTATCGAATTTATTTTTTTGCCACTTTTAATATTCCCTAAAGAACTCGTTCATAACTTTTTGTCCAATATCATTAAATGCGCCAAAATCTTGTCGAATTAATTTGATAAGGTCGTGATCTCCTTGCTATTGGCATAAGCTACGTATTGCATTTTTAGATGTACCTTTCACTGATTGGTATGAATAGCCCCCCCAAAAAATTACAGAATGTGTTGCTTTTTCGATGTACTTTTTTACTAACGTGTGAGGATCATCTTTATCAGCAAACATTCCTAGAAGGCTTCAAGCGCGGGCCCCTTGGACTTTCCTTGATTTCATGCTTTTTAGAAGAAAATACTTTTTTTATTATCATCGATGAAAAAAATACATCGAGTTTTTTTTTTAGCCTTTTCCAGACATCGGAATTGATGTGCATCGCGTTTTGGATTTCTATTGAGATTCTTTGGTATCTCTCTTGAGTTGTTTCGCTAATTTTAAATATAATGGCTTGTTAAGAATAAATTTAAAATTTGATGAACTTTAAAAGTACGTAAAATAACTTAAGCGACTCAACTACATCCAGTAAGTTTGAAGAATTATTCATTTTTATCTTTTCTTAGAATTTATTATTAAGTGATCCTATGAAATTTTTGTAACAATTTTTTTATAATCTTTCCGACTAATTCGGCAACCTTTTCTATGTTCTTCCTTTCGAGTTCTTGTTTTGAATTATCAAAATTCTTGCTTTCTCGATGGCAAAATCCAAAGGATCGATAAGCTCTTTTCCCATTTATGACGAGAAATTTCAAGCCCTTTATACTCATTGTTCTATCGATTTTTAAAGACCTTTCTTTAGGTTTTAGATCTAGATCATTTTTGAAATACGAAGGAAGAAGAGCTTGTAAGGTATATTTTGTCATAATACCAGTGAAGTGATAATGCTGCGAGTGATGTATGCTTGGTGATGAATCGATTCTACGAATAAATTTGACATCGTATGTATAAATGCGATTACAGTATCCATGAATTGCGCAAAATAAAAAACCACCGTATATAATTACTCATTAGACACAATTGTGTTCTTTTTTGTTTGTTTTTTTACATTCTCGTTTGCATTATGCTGAAGGCTGACCTATAAAATAAATAGATATATTTTGATAAATTGTATGTAATCATCGAATAAAAAATTACCTCGAATCTTCTGGCCAACTTAAATCCACTTGCTCCTCTTGACTTTTCTTGACCTCGAATTCGAAGTATCTATTATTACCGCCATCTTCCTTATCGTTGGAGTCTTGTTCATCATTCTCCACGTTCCACTCGAAATATTCCAGATCTTTATCGCTCATGAGACAAAGTTGTTCGTCGGTCAACTTTGTAAGATATCCAAAGCGAGCAAATCAGTAAAGTTCAAATGTGCAGTAAAAATAATATCGCACCAATTAAAAATTTTTTACCTATGCAAATTTATCATGCTTTTTTTACGTTGAGATGGTGCATTTTCTTCGTAGCATCCTGACTCTGGTTAATGAATCACTAATCCCACTATCCGAACTCACAATAGACAAATAAATTCCGGGTCGGAGGTTTGATCTGTTTCTATTCTCATTACATTTTTCTGCTGAGGTTACAAGATCAAAACTGAAATAATATCATTTGATGGTTTCTATTATTTGTTCAGCTTCTTTGTTAGCTAGTGAGCAGACAATAGGGATTGGTATATTGGTCAGGATATAGTTGATGAAGGAATTTCTGGGTAAGAAGGATTCCTGATAGCAGTTTGATTCTGAATGCAATTAGATCACTATATTGATTGTTGTAGAGATTTTTGATGGATTTGTTGGATAAAGTAAGTATTTTGAGACCAAAGACACAGCACAATTGGTTAAATGTTTTTAATATAGAGGAATTATCACAAATTATATATACACTGGTAATGTTATGGAATTTTTTGTGTCATATTGTGCAACTCCCAAGATTGAGATTGCTAATGGTAAGTGTAAGAGAAAGTTGTTCCAGTGTATAGTCCTTGCAAACCTTGGTTTGGACTTGGGTTTGGCCATATTAAAAATAATTGATTTGAGTGATATTATATGGTTAATTTATTATGTTATTGCAGTAAAATTAATCATGTTTTTTTCTTAAAGAATTAGGTATTGGTTGAATTATTTTTCTATAGTTTCAGATTTTAATTGTAGTATTGGAAAAACATGATTAAATTATGTCAAAGACTACTTGTAATAGGTTACCAACTGGAAGCCCTATGTTAATTAGTTTTATTAAAGTATGATTAATTATTACATTGCCTTTAAGGGTGTAATGTGATATACAGTAAATTATATAATTCAATATTTTGGAGTAATTATAGATAAGGTGGATCTGAAGAGATATTAATTGATTGAAAAATAAATTTATTTCTAATAGAAAGCTTACCAATTCTTGGGTAATATTGTAAAGACAATAATTGAAAGTCAAAATAGATTTATTAATTATTTATAAAAAAGATATGCCTGAGCTTATAAAATACATTATACATGTATTGTTATGCCATAATTTAAGAAAGCAATACAAATATTTAATAAATTATTATTGATATTTATAATAAAATCTTTTTCTTTTAAAAATATGTTTTCAGTAACATTATTCTATCTTTAATTGGTTCTAACAATAGTGTTGGAATTTTGAATAAACCAAAAAATTAGATTTGAATTTGGAAAAAAGCCATATGTATCAATTAATTTATTATCAATATTATTAAAGTTTTGAGCCATATAAGTTCTGAATCATAACAAACTATTCTTGTATAGAAGATTAATTATATTTAAATAAACTTGTAATGGCTGTTATATTTTAGCAACTGGTTAATAAATTTGATATTTAAAAGTATATTAAAGATTTTTGAAGATTAAGTTTATTGAGTTGATAATATTATTGTAACTGAAGATATACTTTGAAAAACAGATTTGATTTTGAAAACCTTAAGTAGCTTTGGCTATATATAAATTCAATTGTTCTAATTAATTTTTTTTGGCTTACAAATTGGATAAAACCAGATTGTTTTTTTTTTGAATAAAAATAATTTCTTAAATTGTAAATTTTTTAGTTACATATATAATCAACTTGATGATTAGACTATTTATGAAATTGAGTTTTTATTTTTCTTTTAGGATTGGAATATTAAGATTATTATAATTGACTAGTATTGTGTTTGAGCATTTGGAAGAAATTCTATATACTGATTTAATAAGCTTGTTAATTTTTAATTGGATAAAATAAATAAAACTTTTGTTTAAAAAAAAATAAAATATGAAATATTTTGAACTTTTCTAAAATTATTTATTCTTCAATATGTTGCTTAATTTCTTTTTTTATTGATATTTAAATAACTTTCTTAAAATCTAGTCAATAAATTAACAAAAAACTTATTTATTAATCTTGAGAAGATTTTATAAAGAAAGAGTTTTCAAATATTTAATATTTTATGTAATTTGAAAACTTGTATTAAATAGTGTTATAATTATAATAGTGAATAGTATTAATTTTATTTTTAGATTAGTTTAGTTTATTATTTCTTTATTATTATTATTATTATTTCATAGTTAGTATATGTCATAACTGGTATATTAGTTATATATAGCATATAGGGTAGATCATATAGTTATAGTAAATCATGTGGATATAGCATTTCTGTAGGGTATGGCTAATATGAGAAATCAAACAAATCCAGCAAACATGGCAGAATTGACATATCTATATTATTGTTTACATTATTTTCTCATAATTCAAAGATGTATAAATAGGACAATTGTTCTTTCCAGCTGGCCAAGAAATTTTTCTAACTCTTTCCAACTCTTCAATAAAAACTGATCAAATCTTATACCCAAATCACCGTGCCTCTTGCCTTATATTGGATAAACCTTGCTGAATTCCTTCATCCTATTAACTCTAATATACCACAACTAAGATTATTTTCTTTTAACTTAAGTGACTTCCTGCTACAGTTGTCTGTTAATCTATTCAATTTTAAGGTTTATTGGATAGGTTGACAATAGTTCTCAAAATTGACTACTTTGTTTAACTTTGATATTACTAATAATTTTGTTTTGTTTTTGTTATATGTAATATTATTAATTTGAAAAAATTGGTTTGCAGTTTCAAGAAAAGTTTTTATTTTAAATTTGAAATCAAGAAATTAATACAATATTATTTATATAGGCAAGAATATTGGAATTAAATAACTTTATATATGTTTGTATTTAAATAGTTTAATAATAAATAGGTTATAAAAAATTATACAAATAATTGAAATATGATTTTGACTTGTTCTACTATATTGTTAATAAAGAAAAAATTAATAAAATTAAATAATATATTGATAAAAAAATTTTTTATTAATAAGTTATTATAGACATGTGATTTTTTTTATGGCTTTTTGAATAATAGGAATCGAAGTTAAGTCAAATACTTTAACAATGCTCAATAAGATAAACCATAATTTTTTATTATTTATATTTATAATCTGAATAACAGTTTTTATAATAATTAAAAATTTTAAAATGTTTTGATTAGATAGTTTTTAAATTTAAATTCTAACAATATATTATTTGATTTATTATTTTAATTAATTTTTTATTAATTGTTTCTATAAATATCTTTTTTACTAAGTCAATTAAAGATATAAATCTTATATTATTAAGCTTGTAATTTCAAATAATTTTTTTTGATATTAATATTATAAATATTTGTTTTTATAAATAAAAAATCACAAAGGATAAAAGAATTTAATTGAAAATTATAATTAAATAGTTTGTAATTTTGCTGCTTATTAGCTTAATTATATTATAACTAATTTTTAATTTTTAAAGAACCTTATTTATAGAAAAATAAAAATAGTTTTGTTAATAGTATAGAAATTAAAAGATACTAATATTTTATTATAAATGAATGAAATTATTACTTTGTTTAAAAAATATTTATTTGATTAGTTTAGAAATTTGTTAAGATCAAAGTTTTTTTCTTATATAATATTTTTAAAAATTTGTTAATAATGTCTTGAATTATATAAAAATTATTTTCTATTTGCTTATTTTTATTATATATATTTAAGAGATCTATTTTATATTTAAAAAGCCAAGAGCTTTTATAATATAATTTTTGATTTACTATAAAAGTTTTCTATTATTTTGTTTATATTGAAATAGAACTTTTTTAGTAATTCATATTAGGCTTGAATTAAGGCTTCCTATATTAAAAGTTTTTTAAGTTTTCTTTTTTTTTTTTTTTTTCAGCTAAAGTGAGACTTTACTCTAGTTTATTAATATAGATAGTTTTTTACATATAAATTACATACATAAAGTTTAAGCTATATTATTTTATATTAACTAGAATCCATCCACAGGTACTATATACCATCCGGGTGTAGCCTGCCACCTTGCTTGCTAACCAAGCCTACCTTAGCTCTATTTGTTCAATTCTAACTTCTCCTTCTTGTTCTCTATTTAACCATTCTGTTATATATTTATAGCTTACTTCCTTCTCATTTATATTTATTTCTTTCTATCTTTCTTTTTGCATTTTGCCTATTTTCCCTATTGGTTTTATGTTTTCTTTCTTTTTTCCCTTTTTCCTTTTTTCTATTCCGTTTACCTTTTCCCATTCTCTAACCACTTGATTCCTTTTTTTTCAGATTTTTTCCGCTTCTTGTTCTATTGTTCTATTTATTTCCTTTATTGCTTCCTCTGCTTCTTGTTTGTTTATTTCTTTTAAAATTCCTGTCCATCGCTTTGGAACCATCCCTTGTATGATCCATGCCCAGCTAATCTTTGTGTTCTCTTCTTCCATCACTTGTTGAATTTCCTCTTGTCTCTTGTTTTTCTTTTCTATTGTTAGTTTATCATCAATATTTTATTCCATTATTTCTATAATTCTCTGCTTCAGTCTTGATATTTGCTGTTTCACTAATCTGCATTCCCATACATGTATTTGATCTTCTTTCTTTTCCCTGCATCTTATACATTTTCCATATTTATCATATCCTTTTTGGTCCCTTGTCTTTTTCTTCTCTAGTGTCAGCAATTCACTATTGATCTTCTTTTCTAGCCATCTGATGCTACTTCCTTCTTCTTCCCTATTTCATAGTGTTTCTTTATATCTTGCCCATGTTGCTTCCCAGTCGATTTGTTGTCTAGTTAAAGTGTTTTGTATTTGCTTGTTTCTTTCTAATTTTAACCATGCTATGATATTTTTAATTTTGTTATTGATTTTCCATATCTTTTTCCAGCCCCAATTTTGTATTCCTTCCCCCCATATTATACCTCTATCTTTATTGGTCTTTACTTTTTCTTTTGTA